ATCTTATGACTCTATCCAAAACTACATAAAACAAGCACATTTTGAATGCTGGAACGTCTTTAATAGATGGGACTATGAAGCATTGATTCATACATGTAGTGGATTCACAAAAGCAAAACATGATATAAGCATATATCATTCAAAGACCACCACACAACTGGTGGCTCGTTTAAACTGAAACTCCATAAAACAATCATAAAACCATAAGACAATAACCAAAGCGAAACAAATCAGGGACATATTCCAAATGGTAGTCATCACAACTTTCATTCTCAAATTAAACACTTACATAGAACAATGGTAAACCAAACAGCGGCAACACAACTGAAAATTTTTCCTAATAACACAATAACTCATCAAGAACATTAAAATGCAGACTAGTTGTCATATGTAATGGGTACAAATTTTGTGGCATCTTATTCAAAGGCCTACAACACACAGTTCAAATTGTTGTCTTCCATGAAGAATGCCAACATGGATGAAATATCATCATCCTCAGAAACTTTAGGAGCCTCGAAGAAAGAATCATTATTAGTACCAGTCACTGGACCATTGTCATACATAATGAATGCATCATCTTCTCTGAAGAATTTCAACATTGATAAAACGTCATCATTTGATTCTTGAGCTTGAGGACCTTGAGCAAGTTGAGGAGCCTCCATCGACGCAGGAACAGCCTTATCAACAACCACTGGAACTTGAGGAGCATCCACAACTGTAGGGGCAGCATTAGCATTACTATCAATATCAGTGGTAACACTTGCAGCAGCATTAGTATGAACCACTTGAGGTAGAGTATACAGCCCACTTGATGCAACAGATGCTCCAGCACAAAGGCTCTCCGGAACACACGAGCTACTAGCACCACCAACGGCTAGTGTAGACATGCCAGAAAGAGAGCCAGTGCCAACCAAATTTACATCCTCATCATCACTCCAATCTTCCTCCTTAAATGGTGCTCCATATTGGGCACCGTTTCTTGGGCCCATACCATCCTTCTTGAAAACAACACAAAGCACATATGTATCCTGAACAACCCCTCTGTCAGCCAATTCTTTTTCTTCAAGTCTATATTCATGCATTACCCAATCTGTTCTGTCCCCACGTGGAGCTTTACCTTGGTGAAAAACTAGAGTTTTTATCATCCCCACAACTGCATCATTGTATGTAACAGTTCTATCCTTTCCAGTGGTTTTCCAGTAACCATACATGGTAGCCCGATTAAATCTAGCCCCTCGGGCATATTTCTTCTCAATGGGACAAAAGAAGAACCATTTCAGATCCCCTGTCTTTAAACAAGATAAATCCGGTAGATCCCAGGGTGCATATTTGTATATATCAAGCTCAGCAATTGCTTCGAAAGCAAGCTTCTTGCCCAATACCTTCCTCTCCAAATAATATTTAACAAGTTCAACATCAGTGGGGTGAAATCGAAACCCCGGAGCCAACAAGTTTTTACCCATAAAAAATTTTAAGTCTCAATGTCCAATAACAAACAACTTAAATTCACGAGCAAGTGAATATGGAAGTTGTGATTCTGCTTAGACTAAAGCAGCAGAACCAAAACAAATAATCCAAAAAAAGAAAAAGGATCAAATCACACTTGACGCGTAGAAAACGGGCCAAGTCCAATGCCTAAAAGAGATCTTTTGAGAACAATACCAGAGTCTCCCACGGCTCATAAACCCAAAATCACAGCAAAGAAACGACGGCAGCTGTTCCCAACTGAGGTCAAAAGTCATTTGGCGTACAGATTGAACCCTGATTTCAACATATTAAGATTCCCGTATCAATAGAATTAACAAACAACACATCAATTCATTCAAATAAAAAAAACCCTAAATCAATTGAAAACCCTAAATCAATTGAAAACCCTAAATCGCAAAAATCACAGAAGACAAAAAAAAAAAAAGGAGAAAGAGTCACTGATCAAATGGACGACCTCTGCTCAACTGATATACGTAACATACAAGAATTACAATTACATAGAAAAAGAGAACGAGAAACCAAAGAATCGTACCCGAAGAGAAGGAAGCCGCGAGAGAGGAAGCGAAAGAGAGAGCGAGAGAGCGAGGGAGACCGAGTGAGTGAGCAAAGAGCTTAAACCAACGAAGAGTAGAGAGCAAGCTAAGGCGTGTGCTCGTTTTATAGCGGCACTCTTTTACTACGAAATTGCCTTTTTTCCTTTTTTTTTTTTATAAAAAAGGAAATTCCTCCCCTTAGCTTTTTTTCATGGTCTGAAACACCCTCCTATTTATTACCAAAAAGGAAATACTCTTAACTAACATTTGGATTCTTTCAAGCTTGCTTTTTAAAAAAAAATAGTAAAAAAATTTAATTTTAAAATTCATTTTCTTTTATTTAAATGGTCAGGCTACATGACAATAGATAAAAATGGTTATATATTTCTAATTTATGCTACTAATTTCATTACTATAATATTTGACTAAACTAATCAATTGATAGAACTATGGAGAAAATCCATAAATTTTCTTACCTTTTCTTGGTATTATCTTATATGAAATTTTTGAAGAAAAAAAATGATTACAAAACAATAGCCTCAAGAAAATGCATGAAGTACAAAAATCAAGAGAACTCTTGGGAGATTTAAAAGTAGTCATCACAACTCACAAAACATTAATAAATTATAATTTTAAAGAGATATTAATTTGAAGAAAGCATTGGTTCTATAAAATATGTTTGTTTTTTAAGCGTAACTTGAGAATTTTGACTTTTAACATTTATTAATTAGAAGACATGATTTATAATTATGTACAAATAAAATAATGTAGGATCAACTGTTATCATTAACAAATGCAATTTGGCACATAATATAACATAAACCTACATAATAATTAGTCTAGAGAGGCACTAAAATAGTAAAAAATATTAAAAAGATATATTTCTAAAAAGTTAATATGCAAATTATTCAAATGACAGGTGCATATATCTATCATGATAAAAAAAAAATTTAGTTTAGGTTTTAAACAAAATTAAAGTATAATACTTTAAAAAGTTTATGAACTATTTAAAAGAGTTTAAATAAACTCTTATTTTTTTGTGTGTGTTTAATCAAGTTCCTTTATTTTTATTTTGAACAAAATAAAACTCTTATAAACAAAAGTAAACTAACCATTATTAATAAAAATATCACTTATTATTTTTTATGTCATGTAACGTTAATATATTATAGTAGATGTTGATGTATATTTTAATGTGTCATGATCACATAATTACTGACAATTTTATCTCATATATCGACATCACGTGACATAAAAAATAATAAGTGATATTTTTATTAATAACAATTAGTTAACCACTAATTATAAAAAATTTATATAATTTCAAAATAAAAAATAATTGAACAAAAAAATATAAAATTTATTTATATTTTTCTTGAATAGTTCAAATAATTTTTTAAATATTATGTTAAAAATTAAACACATGTATATAATTCTCATTTGCAACACTTTATAAAAGTTCAAGGCATAATATACATATAAGCTCTTAAACTATTCAAAAAAATTCAAATAAGTTTTTACATTTTTATTATATTTAATCAAACATTTATATTTTTATTTTGAATCAAATAAGGGTTATAGAGCATGAGGATGTGCAACAGTCAGTCTCTTTTTTTTTTTTTTTTCCCTTTTCACCATTTTATTAGCTTTCTTTTGTGCATGTAGGTTACAGATGTTGATGATATGCAGCAGAGAGTAACGGTGAAGCTAGTTCCACGGATTGATTTACAGGAAATGGCTGATAAAATTGGTAAACATTCTTTGCTCATTTATTGAGTAATTATCGACTGACTTCAATTAAATTATTAAAGTAAGCTACGTTTTGGTCAAATATCAGTGGAAATGTATTATTAATTAGTACAAAATTATATTGTAATGAGAATCAGATAAACATTTTCAATTTGTCATGTACTGATTGGTGGATACTGCTTGCATTTTGCAGTTTGTCCTCGACAATTTCTTAATGCATGCTTTAACATGTTGCTTAGATTTTGGTTCAAATCTAACTAAACTGATTTTGCGGCATTTCATTAAGTTATATGTACTTTTTTCCCTCCTAATAGTCTTAGCTTGACAAAATATTGCTTTAAGAGTAGCTAGAATTCCTAGTGATTATTTCCCTGAAGGATTTGAACCATGTTTCTAGTTTCTTGTCCAAATAGGCAGGTGTGGAATTTGTGAAGAAAGCATTTGTTCCCCCTCCTAGGTTAATTAACATAATTGAAGTCAGGTATTATCTGTTCTTTTAATCCTTTCTGGATAGCAGTAGTATAGTAAGACACACTTTAACTAACTTTTTGCTGGTTTCATTTGTGGTCTGTTTATCAGAGAAAAGAACATACATGTTGAGCGAAAGCGTGATCCTTTCACTGGAGAGTATTTCGAAAAAATTGCTGGAATGATGTTCAAAGATGGTTTTCTGTATAAATCAGTCTTCATGAAATCAATTAGTTATCATAATATACAGCCAAACTTTGATGAGCTTGAAAGATTTCTAAGTCCAGGGGAGAATGGAGATGGAGATTTTTCCAATTCTTTATTATCTGGAGATACAAAAACGGAGCACTTCTCGAAGGGTGATAAAGTTCTTGTAGTAAGGGGTGATCTCAAAAATATGAGGGGAATCGTTGAGAAGGTAGAGGACGAGTATGCATGCATTAGACCAGATATCAAGGATTTGCCGGTTTGTTCTGTTTGAACTTTATTCTTGCATCAACAGATGATAAACTATGCAAAATTGGCATGAAAATTACCATTTTGATGCCAACCTTCTGCAGGAAACTTTTACGTTCAATGTTAAAGATATTAGCAAGTACTTTGAGACTGGGGATCATGTGAAGGTTGTCTCTGGTACTCAAGAAGGTGCAACTGGTATGGTTACTAAAGTTGAGGGAGGGTCGTGGTCTTGTCATTGTATCTGATGCATCCATGGAAGAGGTAATTCACAATTTCCTTGAGTTCTGCAGAAGAGAGAATTGAACATCATTGGTTAATTTGGTATCTCTATACTTATTAAGTTCATATTATACATGTTGCATCCAGATCCGTGTATTTGCTCACTGTGTTATGAAAAGCAGCGAAGGAACTTCTACAAACAACTGAAAGAAGGACTATCAGTTACATGATCTTGTTCTGCTCAAGTAGGCCCTTGTTTTAAGTTACTTAATTTTCTTTTTTCCTCATTCTTATAATCTACACAACTCTTCTGAAAATGAAGTTTAGAGATTTAAAATCTTGATTGCTTTTGGTTGAAACGGCCTTTCCAAACTGAAATTATATTCATCGTAATGGTTTTGACTTGAGTTTCTTTCCGACCAAATTATATTCATCGCTGATTATATGGTGCAGTGATTCCAGCTTTGGCATAATCATACGGGTGGATGGAAAAGCTTATCACGTAAGTAATGTTCAACGTTCATCACTCTTTTCTCTCCACATTCCTTGTTCTGTCTCGGGCTTTACTATTTTTATCACTTTACTTCAGGTGCTGAAAGGAACTCCAGAGCGAGCTGAGATCGAAGTTCTATTGTACCGAGATATCAATTCCAAGATTGAGAAGATGGGAACTGCAGAAGACAAATTTAGAAATAGAATCTCTGTTAAAGACATTGCGAGGATTGTTGAGGGGCCATTTAAAGTGAGTTCTTTTATACTAGGGTTGCTTTGATCTTACTGTAATTGTTTTGTTTACATGGAAGATAATGCAGTTTATTCTTCTATTAGGGAAAACAAGGACCCGTTGAACACATTTATAGGCAGACTGTGTTCATCCATGATCGCAAAATCATTGATCAGGGAGGCTTTTTTTGTTTTAAAGCAAAGTCTTGTACACTTTTGGGGGGTTTATATGCCAGAGGTGACATAAGGGTAAAGACATTTCAGATCAGTCTTTTATCCTATTGCCAAAGCAGTAAACGCATATCAATTTCCTCATCTTTTGATTCATTTATATTGCAGGGTGGTGTCATGGACCCACGAGTTTCAAGTTTAAGATCACCTCCCTGCATTCCCCAATCCCCAGGGAGAACACTAATTAGAAGAGGTCCTCATATAAACTCTATTGCATGTGAATGCCTAGACAGTTGAAATTCACGTCATCTATTTGACCTGGTTAACGAATGATGGATATGCTTAAAGCTGATTTTATATCTGCTTTTGCTTCAGACGAGAGAAGATATCAAAGTGGAAGAAGTGGCCATGATTCCATTGTTGGTACTATGGTGAAAATTTGCAAGGGTCATTACAAGGGATCCCGTGGTCGTGTTGTAGCCATTAAAGGTCATTCAGTCCGAATTGAACTGGAGTCTCAGATGAGGATTGTAACAGGCAAGTTTCTCCAGTTACCCTGAGTCCTGACCATGAAACTTAAAATCTGAGGCTGTACTTAAAGTGAATGCCAGCTTTTTCTTATATATTGCTAATATTGACTGTGGTTTCTGCCCCTTTGAATGGCCAGTGGGTCGTAGTGAAATTTCTGATAAAGTGAATGTTACAACGCCAGACTGGTAACAATTTGTTTCTCGTTTCGACTCCCTCTCCTGTTCTTTAAATATAATGGAACAGAACTAATTCTTACTTTTATTTATTTTCCCAGCGACGCACCCCTATATGGTCTTGGAACCGAGACTCCAATGCATGTGCATTGCTCCATGAGAGAACCAGGTGCGTATGGATTTGATTGTAAAATTATACACTTGGTTCCTATCTGAATTAGGGGCTAAGTGGCAAGCTTATTTACGACTTGTCCAATGCTTTCTTTACAGGTACACCATTTCATGATGGCATGAGAACGCCAATGCGCAACTGGGCTTGGCATCCTTATGCATCAATGAGTCCTGCAAGGTTCGGATCAAAAACTAAAAGAGTTTTATGTCTCTTAATCTTTGTTGCTTTGAGTTGCTAACAATACCAGATGAGCTCCAAGTTTTTATTCTGAAGTTTTTGTCTTCTTGTCTTTAAGTACATCTTTTGGTTCTATATATAATAGGGACAGTTTCAGTCCTGCTTCACAACTAGAAAGAGCAGCTAGTCCGGGGTCTGGCTGGGCTAGCAGAAACTGTAGAGCTCCTGGAACTCCAAGAGAAAGCATGACTCATGGTAATTTGGACAAATGTCTCATTTCAACTAATTAATATTCATTCTTAAGTGTTTTTTTCTCGGGTATAATTAGCTTGTAAATTCTAATAATATACTAATTTTTTCAGCTAATAGTGCAAATATAATCAGGAGCCCTCCACTCCTGGTAGGCACTCCATGAGATGAAGAGCGCTATGGCTTGAAGTAGATAATGGAGCTCAAAAAAATTATGTAGAATTCTTTGCAAAGATGGCAGGATACTATGATGACAACTGATTGTTGCCTAATATTTCTATTATTTTATTTATACTTACCTTGGTAAAGGATCCTCGTTGATCAACATTGGGAATATTGAAAGAGTTTTTTTCTTTTGGTTCTTATAAAAATATTGATGTAGTGTATAGAGCTTCCAATATGTTCAAGCCAAAGTTTTTCCATTTTTCTTTTGAAGAAGGGCCAATTTTGCTGCTTCAATGAATACTTTAACATGAGTGTTTGTTTGAAAGTAACATCTAATTTAAAAATTCAAATTGCGTCTGTAATTTTAAATATATATATATAAAAGAATATATATATTTATACATTACATAAATACATATATATATTTAAAATATATATAAAAATAAGATAATTAATTGAGTCAATTGATTGACACCTGTTATTCTTAATTGAATTAATTCTTTTAACACTTTATGTCAAAATTACGCTGTTTTTGACATTTGAAGAGCTTTTCTTATTTTTATTTTTATTTATTTCAGTAAAAATTACTTGAAAACAATAATTTTAAACTTTTAAGGCTTAAAAGATAAATTAGTTTAATATTTATCAATTGTAATATATCATTTTTTATATATATCCTCTTAATCTACGTGAACCTGAATTCATAGTATTTAAACATCTATTTTATACATAAATATGTAAATTCTAATAAGTATCCATCCAATTCTTTAAACAAAATAAAAAGGTCAAGAACATCTATTCTTTTCTTAATATACATAGCACACAATCATTATTGAATAAAAAAATCAACTGAATTTTACAACCTTTAACCATTCATTTGATATATAAAGACACTACAAGAACTTAGTAACTATTTTTTCTTGATAAAATCTTTACATTATACTGTTGACTTATATACTACAACAGTTATTCTTAATCTGTCAATAGTGCAGGTTATATACTCTGTCATTTCTTAATATTTTATTATACATTTAACAATTTTTTATAAAACTATTATCTTTTTTAAATAAGTACTATTTTAAGTAGGATAACCTATTAATTGGTTGTCATTTTCAATTGAATTAATTTTTTTTGTACACCTTATGTCAAAACTATGTGCATTATCTTTTACATTTGAAGAGTGTTTTTTACTTTTATTTATTTCAATAAAAAATACTTGAAAATAATAATTTATAATTTTTAATGCTTAGAGGATAGATTCATTTAATATTTATTAATTATAATTTAATATTATTTTTTGTGTATATCTTTTTATTCGGTATGAAGATGAATTCATAGTATTTAAACATCTCTTTTATACATGAATGTTTAAATTTTAATGAATATCCATTGAATTTATTGTACAAAATAAAATAGTTAAGAATGTCTACTTATTTCTCAATATACATAGCACATAGTCATCATTGAATAAACAAATTAATTGAATTTGATAACTTTTAACTATTCATTTTATATATAAAAGACAGATACTATTAAAAATTAGTAACTGTTTTATATTGATAGGATCTTTACATATATAGTTGTCCTATATTCTATAACTGTTTATCTTAATCTACCAATAGTATAAGTTATATACTCTTTTTTTTTTAATATTTTATTATTCATCTAACTATGTTTAATAGGATTATTATCTTATTTGGATAAGTACTGTTGTATAACCATAAATGTAGGCGCAAGTTTCCGGTAATTAAAACTAGAGTAAATAACTATCTTCAATCAATAATAATTTATCTTTATCTTTATTAGTAAAAATTATACATTCATGCAGTTTAGTAATACATTATAACACAACATAAAAAACGAAAGAAATGGAAACAAATGTATATGGCAAAAGAGCAAACTGTCACCATAGTTACACATAGCTAACAATTGTATAACAGTTTGTATTCTCGTAACATTTAGCTAAGTACAAATCCTACATCTAGAAAGTTGGAATACATCATCTAACAAAAATAGAAACCTCCAAATTACAAATGTTATTTATTTTGTTTGAACAATATATTTTTAATAAAAAAATTATTAAATGTTTAACAAGATTATTATCTTTTTTGGCTAAGTACTGTTTTAAAATCATATATTTAGGAGAAACTTTTAATGATTGAAACCAAAATAAATAATTATATTCTATTAATATTAATTTATTTTTTTCTCTATTAACAAATCTATACATTCATGCAATTGACTAATATAATATAACTTTTTCTACGAACACTTTTGAAAGTACTAAATTGAAATCTTCTCTAACATAATTTCTATTTCTTGCAATCTTTTCCGTAGTGTAGCTATGAACACTATCCTAATATATATATATAAGTAATAGAATCCCAACTTAAACATTAACAAGTAAATTTTTTTTTAAAGGCTAATATCAAATTTTCGTTATTAAATAAATCATTACAAAAACTAGCCACATTTTGGTAAAAATGGAGCAGGGTGCAGCGCAGAGGGAGGTGATCGTCGCCTAAGTGCCGCTACAAACTCTAAGCTAACCAATCTTTTCCAGGTTGCATCTGGGATGAAACTTATTGCAGCAACATGACATAGCCCGCATGTCCCAGGATCATCCCATGGCAACCTTCTTTTACAAAAGCAATTCCCTGTACACAAAATGCAGCCCTTAGCCTTAGATTTATCTACACCATGCAGGCGTCACAATCTGTTACCTTAGCCTAAATGCCTACCCTAAGCATTTGACTAAATAAATTCAGTTTCCAGCACTCAAACTGTCACTACATATCCAATTAACTGCAAGGCCCCAGGGCTTGACCAGCCGTTGATTTCGAATACCACCAGTGGCTCTGGTTATCTCTGCACTCCCTTGATTAGCGACCTGTGCAGAGTAATTATTATGTAAATTAAAACATCAACAAGTAATTAACAAATATATAATAGTTTGAAGAGGGAAAAAGGTAGGTGGTATTGTCTGTAGTCCTATATAATCTATGTATACAGTGTTTTCTGGTTTTCTTTTCAAAAATTATTTTTGTGATCATGTGAGTATAATTAATGAAACAAGGTTATATAGATTTTTGTATATATTTTATAAGCGAGATTAAGATACTATCACATATTTTTCATTTATCATATTTATTTATTATTTTTTAAAAATATACTCTTAACAGACTATGTAACAATCCTCTTACCTACCTTACATTGTTAATTAAAACTCAAAAACAAGCATATAAGATAATAAGCCATTTGCCCATTCATAATTCATAATTGTGGAGGCCCTTGATGTTGGTTGGGAAACAGCTGCAATTGTGAAAGGGGTGTTCTAAAGATGGAATGCTGTTCTGAGCCAGATTGGTAGTACAGCAAATGAGGAGGCGAATTGGGTGGCTGTTCATGCCTCTCCTTTTGAGGCTTGTCTTTTAGGACTTTTGATCAAGTTAAATTTCTTACCAGACATTTTGTTGGGATAATTTTGTAGTCATCTCCCAGATGTCCTAACACGATTAACTCGTCTCTCAGCACCCACATCAGCAACAACACACTCCACTGGGCACTGCCCACACATACCATGCCACCACCTAAAATTCAGCTCTAAATCCACCAGTTTTTTTGAATCACATATATATTTCTATTATAGTAAGTAAGGGCATATTAAAAATAGTTTTCAAAATGCTAAACTTGTTTATTTATTGATAAAATAATAGCTCTAAATAAAAATGTTCAAATGTGCTCGTTACTATTATTATCTTATAAGTATACAAAATTCTTGAAAAGGACATTAATTATGTTGCCAAATTGGATTAATCCTCCGTTCTAAACTTGCTGGAGATTCGATTCAAGTAAAGTACAAGAACATAATAATAAATTAGGACATTAATTGGTAGCTTGAAAGTCGAAACACCTCATTCCAATATAAAACTATGGCTGCCTGATTTATTAGTTTCTCGATAAACCTTTTCCGATTAGGTAATACCTGAATATGCAAGTCGTTGCCACCTACTTGTATTTTTCTAAAAACAAAGTTCACCTTAAATTACTTTATATATGTATATATATGTATATTGCCATCTAAAATTAAAATATAACATATTTATTAGTTAAAGGGAAAATGACTCAGTACTCTTTTTATTAGTATTTTCTTTTCGATGATAATCTTAATTTTATTATAGAAATGTTAATGGGCGCATATTATTATTGGGTAAGATGATATTTATAAAAAAATTATAATTTAATATTTTATTTTTTAAAATAATTTTTATATTTCATTTTTATATTTTACAAAAATATCAAAAGAGATCTAATTTAATATCTGAATTTTCGCTTTTCATCTATCGTTATTTCAAATCAATATCTAACTTTATTAATAATTTTCATAAATATTAGTTGAATCATCAAAATGAAGTATTATTTTAATAATAAGAAAGAAGTGCGAGTTTAGTAAATTTACTGGATTAAATAAAATAACAATAAGAATTATTTGACAGCAATGTAAATATTATCTATAAACGTAACTCTTATATATATATATATAAACTAAACTAACTCCGATCGTTAAGAGATGAGATTTGTCTTGTCTTGGTTCTTATGCGTTACGACTAAAAAACAAAGGCTTTCGTCATCCGTGACACGAGACTCCAAGGGGTTGTTCGGTCAACGACGCCTAAAATCCAAATCTGCTGACAGCGTTTGAGCCACGTGTCGGGAAGTAAAAAGATGAATACAGGAGTCAAACTGACACACTGACAGATGCAAGGTATAAAATGGTACCTAGTTGCCAACTCGCCATATAAAATGTAAAGTTCTTTTGGTACTGCAAAAAAAAAGGTTAGGGACGGAACAATACCAGACGTGTCTGGAAAGTGGGAAAGAGGACAATACAAAGGCGCCGTTTGGTTGCCTTGCAGCCACTACACGCCAAATTCCAGGGAAGAAAACAGCGGTTTACGTTTGCTGGTTTTTTCCCTCCTAACACCTTTGGCCATCTCAACTTATAAATACCCTCTCAAACCAGGCCAGTCTCAAGCATAAAAAGTTAGTCAAATTCTTAAAAGAGATTCAAAAACCCATTACTAGTTTCAAAGAAAATATGTCAAGCACTGCTGGTCAGGTCATTCGTTGCAAAGGTACATTTGTTTCTGTTTTCCATTTTTTTTTCTTTTCTTTGTTCTGGGATTTCACTTAGATAGGGACTAATTAGTCCTGTTTCTGTTTGAATTTTGATTGATTTCAATCTTGTTTTCTTGTCAGTCCAAAAAGTTAGCAAGTACTAGAGAAAAACTCTAATCTTGGTTCCAAAATACATATCTCACCTTCTGGGTAAAATTTGGTTACCAAGAGTTAATTTGTATACGTCTAAAATATAATGATCAATGTGATCTACATAAGATTGTCCTTTTATGATCATGCTTTGTGGGTTCTTTCCTTTGTAGTTTTCTCGTCTTGATTCTTGATTGCTTTTCTTGATAAGACCTAGGTCTCATTGCTCTTTTAATGTATATATGTTTATTTATTAATTGGAGTCATTTGCAATTGTAGCTGCCGTGGCATGGGAAGCCGGAAAGCCACTGGTGGTTGAAGAGGTGGAGGTAGCACCACCACAGGCAATGGAGGTTCGTCTGAAGATCCTCTTTACCTCCCTTTGCCACACCGATGTTTACTTTTGGGAAGCCAAGGTAATTACTTCTTGATGGTTCATTGACATTGCAAAGAAATGTTAATCGGCCATGTACTTAAAACTAACTTAATTTGTCATCTTACAGGGGCAAACTCCATTATTCCCTCGCATATTTGGTCATGAAGCAGGGGGGTAAGTTCAAAAATTAGTTTTGATTTTAATGCATAGGATAATGTCTCTAATTCTGTCTACTGTCTACTAATTCAATTAATTATATGCCTTGATTCTTCTATTCATTTTGGTTTATAGGATTGTTGAAAGTGTTGGTGAGGGTGTGACAGACCTTAAACCCGGTGACCATGTGCTTCCTGTGTTCACTGGGGAATGCGGGGACTGCCGCCATTGCAAGTCAGAGGAAAGTAACATGTGTGATCTGCTTAGGATCAACACTGACCGAGGGGTGATGCTGAATGATGGCAAGACCAGGTTCTCTATTAATGGACAACCTATTTTCCATTTCGTTGGGACATCTACCTTCAGCGAATACACTGTTGTTCATGTTGGCTGTGTTGCCAAAATCAATCCTGCTGCTCCACTCGACAAAGTTTGTGTTCTCAGCTGTGGAATCTCTACAGGTTTGAAGAAACCTTTCCATTTGTTAGTTGATGTAGCATTTTTGTTTTTCTTTTGGTTTGTTAGTTTAATGGAATATTTATGATCACATTCTAGGTCTGGGTGCCACCTTGAATGTTGCAAAACCCACTAAGGGTTCAACTGTGGCCATTTTTGGGTTAGGAGCAGTAGGCCTTGCTGTGAGTATCTCTTCTCTCAGATTATGGGTTTTTTTTTCACCCTGCCGCTGCTAACTAGGACATTCTAATCGTGCTCTTCTTCCTTAGGCTGCTGAAGGGGCTAGAATTGCAGGCGCTTCTAGGATTATTGGGGTTGATCTTAATTCTAAGAGGTTTGAGGAAGGTAATAAAGTTAAGTTCTTTGGATTTTCTTCATTTTAATCTACTGTCACTTACAAACAACCTCACCTCCCTGCTAACAACTAAAGTTAATTAGGTAAAGTGGAGAAGGAAATTCTTGATTTAATACCCTTAATTTTAACTGATTTCTAATGTTCATTTTCCTTGTGTATGTTTAACAGCCAAGAAATTTGGTTGCACTGAATTTGTGAACCCAAAAGACCATGACAAGCCTGTTCAAGAGGTTAGTGGAAGCATCATTTGTTCTTTTACTTATGACGTATCATGCAGACATCACATTGTTCATATTTTTACTCACTTGTTTTCAGGTGCTCGCTGAAATGACAAACGGGGGAGTTGATCGAAGTGTGGAGTGCACTGGAAGCATTAATGCCATGATTTCTGCATTTGAATGTGTCCACGATGTAATTTCCTTGATGCTGTTGTTTTTGGCTAGATAGAAGCTATAAAGCAGAATGAAGCAGTTTAGTGTGGTTACTATGTTTGACACTTTGGATACGGTTTTTGTTTGTTTTCTTTTGCAGGGATGGGGTGTTGCTGTGCTAGTTGGTGTGCCAAATAAGGATGATGCATTTAAAACCCATCCCATGAATCTGTTGAATGAGAGGACTCTCAAGGGTACCTTCTTCGGCAACTACAAGCCCCGCTCTGACCTTCCTTCAGTGGTGGAAAAGTACATGAACAAAGTAAAGCTTCCTTCCTAATTATTTTCATTACTTCACTCTTTCCAAGCTGAACTTGAGGAAAACAGAGCAACTTTGAATTCTATATTAGCATATAAATCTAAATCTGAAGGAAGCATGATGTAAAGCAACTGTTAACATGGAACACATCATACCAGTAACTGGTTTGCTATATAGAACATACATACATTTCTCATCATGACGTCAAAACCAGGAGATAAATGTAAAACTTAAAAAACTAAGCGCATTTTTCATATGGAACATTGCAGAATGGTGTCTAACCTTACTGTTTGTAATTTTTGTAGGAGCTTGAGCTGGAGAAATTCATCACCCATGAAGTACCTTTCTCAGAGATCAACAAGGCCTTTGAATACATGCTTCGTGGGGAGAGCCTCCGTTGTATCATCCGCATGGATGCATAAAGCAGAATGAAGTCCAAGTTAATCTGTATTTAGCAATCATCTGTTTTTTACTTTGATAGAAGGATCCCAGACTTGTGCTCAGCTTCGTGATGAAAAAAAATGTCTTTTCGATTTTTATGCATTGTACATGAAGAATGCTATGTTGCATGGATGAAAGTGTTCTGTATCGTCTCTCTCTAATGGTGCTTTCACTTAATAAATGCAAACTGGAAACTAATCTTTCTTTGATAAGAGGTTGTAGTTTTTAATTGATCAATAGCTATGGTACAAAAAGATTTACTTGCTTCAACAAAGATTGCAGAACATGATGCCTTCGGCAACGATTCAGGTAGAGAAGGCTAACACATTGTGTAGGATATTGAGACCTCTCTGCATAAAGAAAAGCTTCTCTCATTGCCAACTAGATTGTATCTGGGATGAATTGTTGGACCCGACTCTATCTTATCATTTTTGCTGTACTGGCTGCAACAAATTTTGTTACATGGTGCAGCTTTATTCTAAATGATCCAATTAAATTCTCACCCAAAATATCCCATTGTCAGGTCATGTTGGTTCTCATGTATGTTTGTGAAGACGACCGAAGAACGAAGGAAGCTCCAGTTATTTGGACCTTCTACGGAAAAAGGGCCGAAGCCCACAACAAAAGAGAAAGTTTAGGGATGGAGCTGGGAGCTAAACTTGAGTTCAAAAACTTAGTTAATAAGAATCCAGTAATAGTATGTAATTGCAATACTCAAACCTTGCTCGTATCTAAGGGTCAATACCCACTGAATATTCGAATCCATCGTTAAAAATCCCAAAGAAATTTGGTATTAATACCCTTTTTGAAGTATCAAGATTTCAATGTTTACGTGCCTCTTATAACTCTTCATTTTAATATAGTTATACATAAAACAATAATATGTTACAGTGTAATGTGCATCCTCAAAATCAACTGTGATAAAGTGTTAAACTGAATGGGGTTTCTCAAAAGTTCTTCTTCGTAGAGAAGATCATCTTGGGATGGGTATAGCTCCTTTGGCAACGACATCCAAGAAGAAAACGATTAAATCCTAAAAAGAAAGTGCTCAGCAGTGTTGTCAGTTGCTGAGCGAAGGAAACAGAATTAGATTTAGGAATTATGCTTCAATTCGATGAATGGCAGTCGGTTACAAGAAGGCCCTATTTATATCTGCTGGAAGTCATTTAACAATTCTAGCTGGAGTCGGAATAGGGCTTACCCGGCCCTATTTCGGACACTGGTATCGGTTAAACACAAAACTTTATTTAGACGAAAATATCCTTTTCTAAATTCAAAATTTACTCTTATATTTTTCACAAACTTTTTTCTCACTATCCATCTCCTATCTCTTTCGATTTTTTTTTTCTCTAAATTCTTTCCACCATCGGAGGGCCGCAGTGATGGCGCCGTTGCCGGCCACAAGAAGCGCCGAAGATGACGTTCCTTGGCCTGATCAGATTACATGGAGTACCAAATCGACGTTACATTATATTGACTTTGTCTCCAAAACTTGAAAGACTTAAAAGAAGGAAAAGAGAAAAAAAATTCAAAATACAAGCTAAATAAAAAAATAAAAATTAATATTTTATATTTAAAAATTAAATTAAAATTTTAATTATAAATTATAAAAAATTAATATCTAAAATTTTAAATTTCAGATAAGGCCCGATTGAAGTTAAAAGAACAAATCCATCCTAAACTTTGTTAATGGAATTACAGAGTTGACAATTTAAAATTTCATGCTACGTTACGTGAGTGCATTGTCCAATGGGTTCTATCCAAAACAATGGCATGTGGGAATATGCCTATGAGTTGGCCACTTGGGACTTGGGGGCCCGTAACAATGCCTCACGTTAGGAATGTGCCAACTGTCATGAACTAATTGGAGGATTACATCTCTTTAAGTGAAGTCAATAGTACCAGATTCCTACCATGAAAGAGTCAGCGACAAGACAAGTTGTAAGAAACCAGAAACAGGAAACAGGAAACAGAAACCATGAAACAGAAGCCAAAAGCACATTCAAATTAACAACACACCAAAAGGGCGCCGTGGGTTTGCAGTGTGCAGCATTTTCACACTTTTTCAACGAGTGAAGATTTGAGACAAAACAACAGCGGTTTCAGTGAATGGTTTTGCCTTTGCTTACTATTAATTATTTGCAACATGCTGACGCGTTACTATAAATACCAACACCAGTTGCTGCAGATATTCACCACTCAAAAGGGTAAAAGTAGGACAGAGAATCAGTTGAAGGAATTCAAATAGACGTTGAGGGAAAATGCCAAGTACTACTGTTGGTCAGGTCATTCGCTGTAAAGGTAGTAGCATTCGGTTATTTCGTCTTCTGGGTGTTATTATAAATCTTTTTTTTAAAAAAAAAATTCTTCCCCTGGGTTGCCTTTGATCACATCTTTGTTTTATGGCTTTCTTCTTGAGTTTTTTGATTTATTTGATTTTCTTCCTTTTGATATAAAGACAAAGTTTTGGTTTTGGCCAGAGAATTAATTTGTACTTGTTAAGTGGGCTAGCTGGTTCAGTCCTGATGATTGCTAGCAAGCAGGGATTTTTGTTCTACTCTGCTTGTTCTCTAAAAACAAATGCAAACTTCGAGCTCATAAAATTAATTTCTTGATTGTTACTTTCTAAAATAAGTTCAAGATTCATGGTTCGTCGATACATACCAATATGTATAAGAGCATTTGGTTCCAGAAGGAAATTGAATGGTTTATCATGTTTTAATAGATCATTATGCCCCAAAAGTAACTGACAATTTTGGGTTCTATTGGACTATCAGCATTGTGCTCATTAATATGGTTTTGAATTGCAGCCAGCGTTTGTCTTTTTTTTTTCCCCTTTTTGGGAATTAGAGTAAGTCTGTTAAAAGGACCAAGGTGATTTAACAGCCTATTGGTTTCAAAATTTTATAGAACACCTTCCACATTATTCCCGTTAACAGTAGTTAACTACTTTAGAATGATAAGAGTTGTAAGGAAATTATATCTCAAACACAATATCTGCTGGGTGTTCTGCACCTTGGTCTTCCTTTCTCATTGCATTAGTTGTAATATCTTCCTCTTTATCGAGTAAAAAATTTCCCACGAGTCTATGATATGATCATCCCTTAATGTTTATTATTTTTCTTTCGGATTCTGACTTAATTGGATGCATATACACTACAGCTGCCTGGCATGGGAAGCCGGAAAGCCACTGGTAATAGAAGAAGTGGAGGTGGCACCTCCACAGGCAATGGAGGTTCGCCTGAAGATCCTGTTCACCTCCCTATGCCATACTGATGTTTACTTCTGGGAAGCTAAGGTAATTACATTGTTATTATTTCTTCGAATAATTCTTACTTATAAATATGAACTATTTAGCCCCAAATGTTAACAGATCTCCTTTTGACAAAAATGGTAAAATCTACAGGGGCAGACACCTTTATTCCCTCGTATATTTGGTCATGAAGCAGGCGGGTAAGAACAAATCTATCTTTCTTTCTTTAGCTTTAGAGCTGGATTTTTGGTCTTATATTCTCAGTTTTTTTCCCCTTGATATTGGGACTCATTTTTTATTTTTATTTTTATATAATTTCTGCAATCTAGGATTGTTGAAAGTGTTGGTGAGGGTGTTACCGACCTCGAACCTGGTGACCATGTCCTTCCTGTTTTCACGGGAGAGTGCAAGGAGTGTCGGCATTGTAAGTCAGAGGAAAGCAACATGTGTGATCTCCTAAGGATCAATACTGACAGAGGAGTGATGCTCAATGATGGTAAATCAAGGTTCTCAATCAATGGACAGCCGATCTACCATTTTGTTGGGACTTCAACCTTCAGCGAATACACTGTTGTTCATGTTGGTTGTGTCGCCAAGATTAATCCTGCTGCTCCTCTCGACAAAGTTTGTGTTCTGAGCTGTGGAATCTCAACAGGTTAGTGAAATTTTCCGTTCTTTTTATTTGAAGTTAATACTAATTTTCTCTTCTTTTATTAATGGAAATTGCATTCCTGTTTGCAGGTCTCGGTGCCACATTGAATGTTGCAAAGCCTGGAAAAGGTTCAACAGTAGCAATATTTGGATTGGGAGCTGTAGGCCTTGCTGTGAGTTTTTCCCCTCTCACCTATGAAGCAAGCTCTTATTGCAATTTGGTGCTGCTGCTAACTTTATAAACTTTTCTTGCACTGTTGAATGATCAGGCTGCTGAAGGGGCTAGAATGGCAGGTGCCTCAAGGATTATTGGGGTTGATTTAAATTCCAAGAGATTCAATGAAGGTGAATGAAGCAAGGAGAAAATTTACATTCCATTTATTACACAATTGAAAACTGCACGATAGCAGTCTTCGTATAAATAAAATAATCGGTTTTTAGCACAACAGTATGTGAATTTTCCATCTCTGTTTCTTCCTAATGTTTGTTGTCCTTGCTTTTTGTCAACAGCCAAGAAATTTGGGGTCACGGAGTTTGTGAATCCAAAAGACCATGGCAAACCTGTTCAGGAGGTTAGTAAGTCCATTGAATATGTTTTGGCCTTTTGAGGAATTTGTATAACTAAAACATTTTTAAATTAACTTCACTTTTCTTCAGGTGATTGCTGAAATGACTGGTGGTGGAGTTGATCGAAGTGTCGAATGCACTGGAAACATCAATGCTATGATATCTGCATACGAATGTGTTCATGATGTAATTTCCTTTGTGCTGCTACTATGGTTATCAGAAAGAAAGTAAAATCAACATATTTCATGTTATTTTTTTTCCTAAATGTTTCTTTCGCAGGGATGGGGTGTTGCTGTACTTGTTGGTGTGCCAAACAAAGATGATGCCTTCAAAACACATCCAATGAATGTCTTGAATGAGAAAACACTTAAGGGTACCTTCTTTGGAAACTACAAGCCGCGCTCTGACCTTCCTCTGGTGGTGGAAAAATACATGAACAAGGTAACTAATTGGACCTGACAACTTGATATTCTTTTTCTAGAATTAGACAATTTAGTACTCATAAGCTTATGCTTGATAATGTTCTCATTAGTCTGAAAGCAATAATGCAAATCCCCATGTATCAGCAATGGGATGATCTCAGGTGACCTTTTAGGGCATATTTTTACTTAAGTAGTTGCTCCTTCAATATGCTTGATATCATACAAGAAGTTCACCTTAACTATTTACAAAACCCATGATGGCCACAAATTTATTCTCTTTTTCCCCCTTTCATTGCGTATATTCTGTGAAGAACAAAATCTTGTATGGTTGTGTTACTACTCAGTTGGCATTCTTTGTTTTTAAATTGTTACACATTACTTATGGTCCTTACTATTTCTAATATAATCAGGAGCTGCAGTTGGAGAAATTCATCACCCATGAAGTCCCCTTCTCAGAAATTAACAAGGCCTTCGACTACATGCTCCGTGGAGATAGTCTTCGATGTGTGATCCGCATGGATGCATAAAATAGGATCTAATCTGTCAGAGTCAAAAGTCTATCTCAGAAAGACAAATTAAAAAACAAAATGTCATTGTTGTTGGAAATATTGTGAAAAAAAGAAAAAGTCTCATTATCTGGTTTGAGTCTTAAATACTGTACATAACAAAATAATGCTTATGTTTCCAAGTCTATATAAATAAAAATTGTTTGGTATTTTTGTTAACGTCTTTTTGTGTGTTTTTCTTCATCTGATTCTGCAGTGCCTTGAGATCTAAGACCACTCGTTTAATGAATGTAAATCCAGCAGTAGGGACTTGAGGCTTTTTCTTTTTGTTTTAGCTCGGTAGGAATCTGTGGCTTTTGATATATGATTGCATTGCCATGTAAGAGTGGTTGTGTATTCTTTAATTTCATTAAGACAGCTCAATTTCAACTTTGTAGGGTGCTTTATATATTAGCTTGGCGTAGGAACAATTAAGAACCTATGCGTGATTCTTTTATTGCTTGAATCCTTGAAAGAGTGAACCCTTATCTTTGTATTTGATTCAACGGTAAGTGCTAACATGTAGCACTAGCAGGATGTCCAATGTATGGCGGTTGAACCCAGCTATTAATGTAAGTTTTATACTAGAAAAGTGTGTATCACAAGTACAGGCACCAGATTGAAGGTTTCAACATGCTTTTGGGTTTTGGTGAACCTTGCTTAAGCAAAAAGGGGAGTTCTTGCGATAAAGAGAGGAAGCATTATAAATAAATAAAAAGATATATTAGAGGCGATGGAGAGAAAAATCGAAGCAGTTCTTGAAGTATTAAGTGTAGTGGCAAGTGAAAGAGAACAAGAAGATAATTAGAAAATAAAAGGGAATTAGATAGAGAATTTAGAGAGAGAAGCTCTCTAGAGGAGAATGTGTTAACTCTAGGAAAAATAGCCCTTAAATGAATTGTAAGGCTCTATATATAGTACTAAAAGTAGTGGTTACTAAAGAATATGCTTTAAAGTGTCTCATGAATGACATTATTATGAAGAGCTTTAATGTGAGTAACTATTATTGTAATTGGATACAATAAGACTTATTTTCGAATAAAAGATAATAAAAAATAAGTATATATGAAAGGGTACAAAAGAAAAAACTATACGTGAACAAGTACAAGAGAACATAATGTACATAAATAGGTATAAGAGAAAAAGATATATGTGAATAGCTATATAAGAATAAGCTAGGAAGGTGAAACAATTATGCTGCAAAAAATAGCTAAGAAGAAGATCTCTTAACTATATATCTGAGTCATAAAACTAAACTTTTCGAAACATCTCAAAATGAAAGTAACTTATGAATCCTACTATCCATTCTTGGTTACTTTCACTATTATCCATGTGAATTAGTTATTCTGTGCAAAGTAACTGCTATACTTATATTAGTTGTTTCATATAAAGTAGTGTTGCATTTATTCTAGTTATTTTTCCTGAAGTAACACTTCACTTGTTTTAATTATTCTGCGTGAAGTAGTGTCTCACTCATTTTGGTTGTTCTCTGTACAATATCATGTTGTAAAATAATTTTTTAGAGAAATATTAACCAAAATCAAGTATTTACATTTTGCCCTCTACATAAGAGTTTCTTTACTTAAAAATAATTCTTATGCATTAATTTAAGAAAAAGTTTTACTTTGTATTATAATGTATTGTACTGTAACACTTTGGATAATAACACCTCTTAAATTGTAAAACTTTAAGCAGTAATGTTTCAGGTAGTAATATGTTATTGTATTATGTAATATTTAATTACTTATATAATAATATATTTTTTATAAAATAAGATTATCAAAATACAAATTGTAAAAGAAAAGTTAATATTTTTTATAAAAGCTTGATTTTATGTGGCTTATAAATATGAAGTTACTATGAACAATTTTCTTCATTCAGATTCCAAAGTAAAACAAAATTCAAAACAAAAAGTTTGTTGTTTTGTAAATTTTTTTGAGCAAGTTTGTTTTTTTTATATATAATTTTTTATTTTTTTTCTTTTTTTATTATTTTTTGAAACAATTGAATTTTGTTTTCTTATTGCCTCCTGCATTAAAAAAAATTTTAATTGAAATGTGAGAGAAATTTTTTTTTTTCATGCATGAGTTTTTGATTGAAAGATTTTTTTTTTTTATGTATGAATGTATACATATGTTCAAGGAGACAAATAAATTGTTTTATTTTATATATGATTATTAGACAAGCAAAGCTAGGTATATTATCCAGTTATTAGATATATTTAAGATCCCTATGAAATTTGATTGTTATAATAAGATTTTAGATCATGGAATATATAAATCTTAATTCTATTGAGCAGTTTAAAAAAAAATTAATTATATTTGTCTCATGAATATCCTAAACAAAAGTAATCTCCATCAATTGAAACCTTTAAGATGTCACAGAGAATGGAAAGATGAGGGGGTTTAGCTAGGCAAGCTAGAGTGAAAACTCAAAAGTTGGCCTACAAAAATTAGAGTTGCAGAGGACATTTAAGAATATCTCTTATTTTGTTTGTTCGCCGAACAAGCTGTGATGATTATTTTTATTTAATTGATGCTTTTGAAGCTTGGGTTCTCTTTTTTTGAAAATATACAGTTGGGCTTTGGGAGTCTTGAAGCTCTGTTTTAGAGCAAATCCAAAACAAATTACAAATACTGGAAAGTGTACAAGAGGACTTTGGAAATAGTGCTTTTGTTTTGGGCTTGAGAAACGGCTTAGCCTTTTTTTTCTTCGTTTTAGTTGACTTTTGATCTGAAGCTTGTGGCTTGTGTGGCACTTTTTATAATTTTGTTTTTAAACTTTCTTTTGGACCTCGTGGCATGCCGCGAGTTATTTTTTTTTTATGCCGCGAGTTATTTTTATTGGAGCTCGCGGCATATATCGCGAGTTTTTTTTTTTTCTGAGCTCGCGGCAAATATGTCATGAGTTTTTTTTTTGGTCATTATAATTTTTTAATTATATTATTATTATATTATTTTTATTTGAAGTTATAGATTTTTTTAAGTTTTACTTATTTATTATATATATTTTATATTATAGATATATAAATATTTTATTATATATATATAATAATAATATCGATATTTATAATTTGATAAGTTTTGTTGTTTTACTTTGTTATTGTTGTACTTTTTTATGCTTAATAAATAAGTAAATAAAAAAATTATTACATATGTATACTTATCTCTTTTTTCATGATTTAGGTTTTTTTTTCATCTTCTTCTATGCCTAAGATGTATTTCTTTTTAAAGATTTATTATAGTGAGCTTAGAAGAGCTACAACAAAGAAAAAAATCATTGCACATAAAAGGAAAAGTAATGATTTCGAAGCAATTCCTCCTAAAATAATTAGAGTAGGAAACAATGCTAAAATTTCTCTTGTCTCTGAAAATTGAAAAGATGAAATTATTAGAGAAAGAAGAGAAGATCGTTTTTGGGAGGAAGTTCGTGCTAGGCAAGTTGACGAATATTCCTCTGAGCTTGTTGGATATGATTAGAATTATCTATGCTCAAAAGTACCTTTTCATAAAAAAGGTGGTATTTCAGGATTATCCATTCTAAAGTTCAAGTTTGAGTGTAGTAAGTTTCCACCTTTTATTACTAAATTAGGTTCTAATTTTCAATCTGTTTATAACTGGGATGAGTAGGTAAATAAGCTGTTGAAAAATCCTATTTATGTTAAATTTTTCTCATCTATTGGAATACTTGATGCATGTGTCACTTTTAAGCTTAATATTTGTAGAGAGAAAGAATGGATATATGGCATGCTATTCTTGTAAAGTAAAGCACTTTTTCTTATACTATGATTACAATATTAAGGGAATTTACTTTCAATTTGAAAGATGTGTATATTTTCTTAGAACTTCCTTATATGAGGAAGTATGATTTTCACTCTATCAAGCTTTTTGAAGAAAAGGTGTGTATTCGAAATTTTTTCTTTCTTCTACTTAAGAGTTTGAGTAAAACTTCAAAAGTTACACAATTCTCCAATTGGATAAGAGTATTTTATAAAAAGTTCAATGCTAAGGGAATTGAGATTGGCCCTCTTGAGTACTCAAACCATAAACATGAGCTAGTGGCTTTAATAATCTTTTCGTTGACACGACACATACTCCCAAGGTATCCAGATGATGGCATCTCTTCAATAGTTATTCCATTGGCAATAAAAATTGTTAAGGGAATACATTTTCCTCATGCTCTACTCTATTCAGGATCTCTATATAAAAAACTAGACTTATACCAACTCAAAACTGTCGAGCTAACTGGACGTTACAAAGTTTTGACTTATGCGGATGCTTCTTTCATTCAAATGTGCCTATGGGAATGGGAAAGGTTTGGCACTCGCTCTCCCGTGCCTAATGCATATTTTTTTGCATCTTTTTCTGTAAATAACCCTTTATCTAGGAACAACTATAGAGCTTAGGCATGGCATGATCGACTCTTAAGAGGTAACGTTCTTAAAGTGAGGAATGTGACAAAAAGAATTCACTCCCAAACCTTATGTGTAGCCCATAAATGAATTTGATGATCATGGAATTTATTATGATCGTCACCCTTTACAGTCTAGAAGAATGAGTTCTCAAGATATTAACTTTTTGTATGGGTTCACAATTCTCAATTGCCATTTACGATTGAAAGTTCCAGTTCAAGTGGAGATAGAAATTTTTTTTCTATCAAAGTCTATTTTCCTTACAAAGTTGCACGCTAATTAGGGTTAGACCAACCAGCTTCACCTGACTCTTCTACATCTATCAGTTTTTCTTCTTGCGTTTCTTCATTTTTCATGACAAGACTTCAACTCTATTTAAATAAACTTAAAAGTTGTACTGTCCCAACTTTTGATAGAGTTGGTATCCATACTGCTTGATGGTTTGCTTATTGGAGGGAATGTATTGAAGAATGGGGATCCTTTATTGTACTTTTGATTAATCCCAGAGCCTGTCTCTACACTCTTTTTATAAGTAACACAGATGTATCCTTACACTTGATTTCTGTCAAAAAGAAAAAAAATGTAAATGAAGAATAAGATGATGCTCTTCACGCTTTTACTCAGCAAACAAAAAATGTGCATCGAAAAGTAAGTTCATTCTTTACTTCTTCTTTTACTTCATTTTTTTTTCTTAAATTCATTTCCTCATTATTTTTTTTTTTGTAGAGAGAAACAACTACTAGGGTAAAACTTAACTCGATCGAAAAAG